ATGTTACACGTTTATTAAATATATCTATATAGGTGTTTAAGATTTTGACATAATTAATTAATCATATCATGTTTACTTGTATAATTATTAATACCCTATATTTATACACCATGATTAAACCATAAATACACAAACTGCGAGGTCTAATATATATATATGTTTTGCGAAGTCTGGTATATATATGTTGCACAAAGAGAGATATTTATAAATCTCCTATCTCTTGAACCTTCCTTTCCTCTTTCCAATAAACAAATTCGAATATAAGATCTTTAACCATAAAGGTACCACGATCGGGACAATTACCATATCCTTGTTAACGATTCAAGTTTCAAATAAAATCTTTCTCTAAAAATGCTAATAAGTAGTAACTAATATTTTATGAGACTTCTCTATATATATTCTTGCTTTATTCTTCATCAATTTATAAAATTACAGAGAGAATTATATTTTTTTTCATATTCATCTTTTTTATTTGGTTCATTTTTTTCTTAATTTAATTTATTTTATCATTTTTAATCTATACAATTTTTTTATTTATTTCTTGCATTCTAAAATTTATAATTTTGTTCAATAAAATTGAACTCTTTATTTATAAAAAATATATTAAAATATAATCCAATAGTTTTTTACATCCTATAATACTTCTGCATTAAGTTTACCAAAAGTTATTTTAATTTGCCTTTGCAGTACTTTTAGAAACAGTTCTACTCGAACAACACTTCTTCCCGAAGCTCTATCTAGGTCGGCTCTAAGTTATGTTAAAATTAATTATAATTAATTTTGCACTGAGTGTCTTTTCTCAATAAGACATCTTAATATTAAATTTTAAGATTTTAACTTGAAAAGAACTCGCATTCAAATCGTATGATGGAAAGATTTGTTTTGAATCAAAAGAAGAGATCTTTCAGTAATTCATAATATTATAAGAGAAATTATATTTTTTCACACTCATTTTTTTATTTGTTTCAATTTTTTTCTTGATTTATTAAATACCTTTTATAGTAATTTTAATTAAAATTAAAGTCTATATAAGTTGTTTTACTAAACAACTTTTCTATAAAAAAAAACTTATAAAAAGTAAATTTATCAAACAGTTTTAGCTTAATTTTAAAAGTTATTATTTTTCATAAAAGCTTTACAATAACTTTTAAGTTAAAAAAAAAAAAGTCTAGCCAAGTATGCTATAAGTTTTTTGTATATCTAAGAGAGATGTCTCTTTTTTCAAACATTGTAATAGTTCTCGGCGACATCTCTAGAAATACTTATTAAGTTTTTAAGAAAAAACTTTTTAGAAAAAGAATGTCCTCATTTCAAACATTGTAATAAGTATCAGTAAAATACCTGTAAAATCTTGCAAACTCTTTTTAAAAGGTAAGCAATAGGCAAGTTGTTGGACTGTCTCATTAGTTCAGCATTTGTGGCTAACCATCTAAGGCTACCCTATGGCCCGATGATGGCACGTTCCTTCTCTTGGTCCTTTGTACTTATTTGCAATATTAATAAAATATTTTCTTTGATATAATATCGATAATTGTATATATAACATTCGGTATACCTTTTTAATTTTAATATTACTTTCCATTACTTGACTCGTGGTTATAATTTATGTTGTTCAAATATATTTGAGTAATTGATTGACTGATTTGAGTGAGAGCGTCTATCTGAACATCGCACAAACTATCGTATACTTAAATAAAAAAAACGTAATCCGTGACAACATGGATGGAGAACATTAAACTCCCCAACTCTCTTTTATTTTCTACTACAGTTTCCTGTTACCAAAAATTGGACAAGTCTGGATCAAATATTGAAAAAAATACAACAGAGTTTATTAATGGTATTTTAATATATGTAAACAACTCTAACAAGTTTTTCAGAGACTAGTAATTTCCGAAGTGCGGGAACCATTGCGCGCAGCTCTTCACGTCTGATTCTTCCACCTGCCACCCTGATTCGCAGTTGGAAGACTTCAAACACTTGGCAAATAAAGTCACATCTGGCATGCAGCCATGGTTGCAGAAAGTTGACCGCGTTATTCAACTTTTGGATTGGGACCGAAGAAGAAAAGAATGGGCCTAGCGGCTTATGAAAAAGTCAAGCCATCAAACCCATTTTGTTAACAAATGATTGCTTCAGAATAGAAGTTACCAATGTCGTGCATGTCACTTCAAAGCCTATTGGCCCAATATGGACTTCCATTAAATTTCATTTTATGAAAAGAGAATATTAATGTCATCTTACTCAAAATAGTCCCTGAGACCGTGCTCGGGATTAAGAATTTGATATTTTAATTTAAAAATTTGGGATTAGAAATCATGAAAAGAGTAGAATAATGAGATGAAAAGATCCATCAATGAGTACAACAACTAACTATTTGCAACTGATGTAACACGTAAGTATTAATTGCGAGCCATGTCATTTACCACATATACAAAAATATCAAGTAACATTGAATCTAAATTTTTCATTAATATTAAAAGTTTTTGTACATACAAATCCAAGAACTTTTTCACATAAATGCAATAGTTCAAGAGCTTTTTTAATATCTAATACTAATTCACTGCGTTATTCATTAAAACAGAAAACCAATTTGCTATAATTTTAAAGCCAATACTACAGCTTTTACTATACCAATATATAAGGCACCAATATTTCCACATTTTCAAGACTTTGCTACGTCCCTCTTCCAATTATCCTTCTCTACACAGCATTCTTTTAGTAAAATGTTAAATAAATAAATAAGTATAAAAGATTTTTGTCAGCATTGGAAAATTATTTTTGTTTTTTCTTTTTGGGTTTTTTTTTTCAGCTCCTAACATGAATTAGTTATGGCCTGTCAATCCCATCCTCTCTACAGAGTTGAGATCACTTGGATACACTGAGCTACAACAACATTCTTTTACAAATAAAAGAATTGAACATTAGGGACAAGCAAAATTTACATATACACATCATTCTCATCCTTCACAATATCCAGGGAGTTTAGTTCAGCCAACAGTCTGTCATACTCGCACTGAACCTCTCCGACTTCGCTTCTAAGCTTTTCGACCTGATGGAGTAAAAGGATGTTTCTTATAAGTTTGGTAAAATTCAAGAACGCAGCAAGACTTTGGATGCCAGAACAAACAGCCAAAACTGCCTGTACCATTTAAGTTTATTACCTTGATGTTAAGTTCCTCCCTTCTTTTCTCATATTCCAAGCATCTGAAACACGAAAAAGTAGACTTCTGGTCATCAGCTGAAAGGTTATTGCTATTGGTTATCATGTACGTATGAATTTTATTTTCTTTTACAAACTTCTAAAACCATTGCATCAAGTAATAAATGTGGATAAAACTATAACACTCACTTTGCACGCAGTTTTTTGTTTTCTTGCATCAAGTAAATAGTTTCTTGATCTTTCGACTGATTTGCAGTAGTATCGACAGGCTAGAGGAGAAAAAAGCACAAAACGGTTAAGCAACAGAAATCCATTTGTTAAAAGATGCAACAGATAGATACTACGAGTAAGCAGAAGAAAACCAAATGTCATGTCACCAATGTAAGAAGGAACTGAATCCTTAGGGTAATTGCCCCATGCAACAGCTAATTAAATAGCAAGAATTGGGTAGCTAAACTCATATATGAGCAGGAACAATGGAAGGATTTGCATGCATGCTGCGTAAAATTTCAAATTCCCTTTGAAGCATAGAACAGTATGGTAAAAATTGTATGTTTTAGCAGACAATGGACTTATAGAAGGCACCCACAACTCCCTAGTTGAATCTAATAGTCTAGAAACTAAGAAAGCAAGCTCTCTACACAGACCTGTACAACTGTGTTGGCACTACTCCCTGCCTGACGTTTCAACTTTTCAAGGTTTGCTAAGTCGCCAGGTTCCTTCCTCTTCGTAGGCAATCCTGCTCAATTACAAGGCACCTTGACTAAAAATCAAATCCTTCATATTAGTACCAAAACAAGATCATTATAGCACATACCTTGTATGCTTCTCCCGTGAGAGTTGGTGATTGATTGCTTCACTACAACATCTGCACTCCCTGTTTTAGCTCTATCAGCATCCAAGGAAGTTTGATTCAACAGAACAGGTTGTTCTGCACTGCTCTGTCCTGTAAAGTGAGATGAAACATGAGATGCTGGTGGTTGAGACTTTTTCTTGACCTGATACCCAATTAGTCCGCAATGATAATCCCTGCAAATTGAAGAATGTGCGTCAGGTAAGCTGTACTGAACTATGCTTAGACCATGAACTACAACCTCATGAAGAGGCCAATTGGTCATTAAAAGAAATTAAGGAAAACACTGGAGATATACAATCTAAACTATATAAAGGCAAAATCCATACTTCAAAACAAATTTGATCAACCATCAAATTGAATCACATACAAATAAAAGCATGGGAACATATATATTTTTTCCCAAAACAGTAGTAGGAAATAACACTACATAGTTTTTATCCAAAAACATACAAACATAACATGGTAGAAAATGTGTTGTTCTTCTCATAAACAGCCATGGTAGGCACCCAATACTCAGAGCAAATGGAACCGCAAGACTAATTAGATAAGCAGAAAATCAGGAGTAACAGGAAGCAACTTTAAGTGGGAGAAACAGTAAGCTATGAGCTTTTCATGTAATTTAGACATTAAAGAATAGATTACCAATATTCCCATGTCATTTCCTTCAAGCGACCTTCAAGCTTCTGAAAAAGGGAAGTTCTCTCAAAATCTTGTTTGTTATGAGTTGGCTCAACAAAATTAGCTTCCAAAACACCTGAAAGAATAAAACAACTCATTTGGTGA